ATAAAGTGCCATATAAATCGCTCTTACTCCTCATTATAATTATTATATCATTATCATATAACTTGAACTCACGGCCCTTCACTGTCCTGGTCACCTTTCTCTAGATACTCCCCAGCACAACAATTTCCTTCCTAAAACATGGCACTCAGAACTGAGCACGATACCCCAGATGGGGTCTAAGCGGAGCTGAATACAGCAGCACCCTCCTGTCCCCCTGCTCTTTCTGGACCCTCTGCTTCCTCCAATTCCACATGTAGGTCTGTTAGCTCTTCTGGCTGCAGTTTTACCCTGCTGGGATACATCAAGTCTGCAGTCTATTCAAACTGGTCTGTTTGGCCTGGGGGTTGTACGAACAAATTTCCCTTCAATGCTCCCCAGCCAGACATCACCAAGGTACAGGAGCTCCTTTATGACGCTGGGCTGAGAGAGCGGAACACACACCTGCCTGTAGGTTAATGGGTCTATGTGGGGAACTTTCTTCATAGGTATGTTTCCAGGGACTGAATGGGACCAGTGAAAGAGTTCCAGGTGTGGAGTCAGAGGACCTGGTTCAAATCCTCTCTCAGAAACTTGCTTCCTTGGGGCAGCTAGGTGGCGAAGTGGATAGAACTCTGGCCTTGGAGTCAGCAGGACCTGAGTTCAAATCCAGCTTCAGATACTTGACACTTACTACCTGTGTGTCCTTGGGCAAGTCACTTAACCCTGATTGCCTCACCAAAAAAAAAAAAGAAAGAAAAGAAAAGAAAGAAAAAAACTTGCTTCCTTGTGTTACTTAAGTTATTGAATCTCCTTAGGCCTCATTTTTCCTCATTTGTAAAATGAAGGGGTTCAATTACTTGGCCTGTAAGGTCCAGCTCAGCTATTTAACCCAACTCTCACCCCCAGAACATGGCTACTATGTCACATCAGAGCTATAGGATTATCTCTAAAGGGCTCTAGGGAGCGTCTTATGTTATAGTTCATGAGTCTTCTGCCTTCTCTGTGTTTCACCCCAAAATTATAAACTGAGAATCAATTTAGTTGGCCAGCCTTAATTAGATTTAAAAAAGGGCTATTTACTGAAGTAGCACAGTTAGAACAGTTGATACAGAGCATAAAAAGTCTGTGATATGTTCCTACAGTAAACACAGAGCCCAAGGGAAAGTAAACTCCAGCTTAGGGAGTCGGTGGGGCAAAAGGGGAAACTCCCAGCTCCTGGAAGTCCTTTGCTCCCCTTTGTGGATGCTCAGAAACGTCCCTTTGAGTATGGTGTAACTTCTTTGCTGGATTCCTTGCTGAGCCATGAATCTATGTCTGGTCTAATCTTGACTTCTGAAGCAGACCCAGCCATCAGCTAATCCAGGGATGCCTCTGGATACTGATAGGTGGCACATCCAAAATACTCTTGTTTGTAAGGCTCTCCTCTACCAAAATCATGGGGAGGGAATGAGACTAGGCCAAGGCCTCTCCTTCTACCTCTTTCTCCCCACCCCCCACCCCCAATCAGTTCCCCTTCAAGTGTTTTACTAATATTCTTTGCTTGCTTCTGTCTCTGGAATTGCTTCTGTCCTAAACTAGCTTGATGTTTTACAGAGGACTCCTAGGCCGTAACCAAGTTTCCTCAGCCAATCCGAACCCAATCCCTGTACAAAGTCACTCCATTTCATTCCAGAACTTTTCACACTTAGGCTTAAGGAGGGGTTCTTAATCTGGGGTCCATGGACCCTCAAGGGATCTGTGGGCAGATTTCATGGGGGCACTGGACTTGGAGGGGGAAAATATTACATCTTTATTTTCACTAATCTTTGTGTTCCCTTGTAAACCTATGGATTTTATTTTAAGCAATTAACATTATTCTGTGAAGGGGTCTACAGGGTTCACCAACTGCCAAAAGGGTCTATAATCTAAAAAAAAAGAGTGAGAACACCTGCTATAAAAACTATAGTTGATTGGGATTTATTCTAGCTATGTATCTTATTATTTACTTTGCGTTGATTCAGTAAATCGGTTAAGTTACCCCAATAATTTTACAATCATGATTTGGCATACAGTCTCTATGGTTATGTATAGTTGTGAGAGGGTGGCGGAATGTTGGAGGTTACTTCCAATCTGAACACAATTCCTCCCAATGAGGAAGAACTAGTTGATAAAATGAAATGGACAGGAACCCAGGGAGAAGGGGACTTGATCACCCTAGAGTTCATGATCACTAATGAAAATAATGCTGAGCATGCTCAGAGGTGTAGCCAAGACTTTAGGAAAAGAGGTTTCAGAAATGTCCAGAGAAAAAAAATCCATATGATCAGTCAATCCCAGGAAACCAATCTTGGGATTTAAAGGAACAGGTGTTGGCGATATCTCCAATGGAAGTCAAGGTTGATAGCTGGAGTTTCAGAAAGGAGACCAGAGGAAGTGACCATTGCCCAAACAAGCCATATCAAAAGCAAAACCAAGTCCAGAGCAACTAGCAGGAGGTGAGAACCAGAATTCAGAAATCAAGTAATCAATAGAGGAAAATTCCAGTTCAGTGTCCTATAACAAAGTGTTAAGTCTAGGCACAGATGACTGGAGCCTGCCACCCATGGTCTCCTGAATTCCCACGAGCTAGAGAACCCCTGACAAATGCTCTTGCTGTCATTCACTTGCATAGCTGCCAAGGTGGCCACCTAGACAGGGAGGCTCTTAAGAACAGAACTCTAATGATACATATATGAATCATCCTAATGAGGAAGAAAAGTAGCAAGTATCTCAATAGAGCATTGTTGCTGCATAAGGAGCTCTCTGATCTCAAATTGGAGGAAATCAAAATCAAAATTTGAAAATCAAATTCAAGTGCATATCATCAGTATTCTGTGATGATCAACTGTGAATGACTTAGCTATTCTGGGCAATGCAATGATCCAAGACAATTCCAAAGGACCTACGATGAAAAATGCTATCCACCTGCAGAGAAAGAAAAGTCTTAATGCACATTGAAGTGTACTGTTTTTTACTTTATTTTTCTTGGAGGGTTTTTTGTCTGTGTTTTCTTTTACCACATGAGTAATACGGAAATATGTTTTGCATGACTACACGTGTATAACACATATCAAATTGCCTGCCTTCTCAATGAGGGGGAAGGGGAGGAAGGGAGAGAATTTGGAACTCAAATTTTTTTTTAATGAATTAAAAACTGTGCTTACATGTGATTTGAAAAAATAAAAAAATTAAAGTGTATATCACGAGGACATACTTTGGGCACACTTATAAAGGAAAGGGTTGCATAAGCCACAGCATGAGTGTTCTGTAACGTGATTAACTTCCCCCAAAGTCATTTCATCATTTTATCCTCTATGGCTATAGCTCTCAAAGTACGGTCCAGGGAACTGTGGGTGTCCTTGAGACCCTTTCAGGGAGTCTGTGAGATCAAAATAGTTTTCATAATAATAATGAGATATTTTAATCTCTAATATGATTAACACTGATAGATATAACCAACATAAACAAAACTTTTAAGAGTCCTGAGACCCAAAAGCTTAGCAGCTACTGCTTTTTGGCATTCACCCAGTTACTGGTCCACCAAACTGTTGGGTGACCCCAAGCATTTCACTTGTCTGCATCTTGGTTTCCTCATGTGGAAAATTAAGGGGTTGGAGTAAATGGTCTCTAAAAATCCCTTTATGCAAAACAATTTAGGGAATATAGTTTACTTAGTTTTCGACTTTTCAATTATGTGTTTACGGTTTAGTTGTAGGTTGAGACAGAAGAGGGAGATGCTGGGCTGATTAAAAAAATAAAATATGCCCTTTTAAAAAAACAATTATTACTAATATGACATTGGGCAAGTCACTGAACCTCCCTGGCACTCAGTTTCCTTGTCTGTGAAATGGAAGGGTTAACTAGATGTTTTCTAAGGTCCCTGTCAGCACTAACACTGCTATACTACAATTTTTTTCTTCTGGAAGATTTCTATAATTCCATTCTGACTCTGAGGGGATCAATACTGTTGGCATGATCCTCATGAAAGGACATCATTGAAGAGAGGAGTGGAAAGAGAATAAAGATAAATTAGGGGTCAGGAGCAAGAGCCAGACAATATGTCAAGGGAATTGGCCCATTTCTACATGCAAAAGAAGCATGTCCTATTTCGATTTCAGTGGAAATCTTGTATGCTCTTACGTTGGAAGAAGAACCCTGGATTTGGAGGCAAAAATCTTGGGTTTAGATTCTGCCCTTGGCTTTCACTACTTGTGCCATTTCATTACTCTGGGACTCAGTTTCCTCTGGTGTCAATGAAGAGGATAGATGAGATTGCTAAGATATCTTCCATCTCTAAATCTGTGATCCTGGGATCCTGTGGTCAGAGCCTCGGGAGCAGGGAATGAGTCCAAGTTTAGAGGAAAGCAAAAAAACTGTGCTGAGATGTTTTGCATGATTTCACATGTATAATTGATATAATATTGCTTGACTTCTCAATGGGTTGGGGAGAGACTACAGGGGAAGAGTTCATTTGAAACTCAAAATGTTTTTAAAATCTTTTTAAATTAAATAATTTTTAAAATAAAAAAATTTAAATAACTTTAAAAAATATTTTAATGAATTAATTTTTTAAAAAAGATTATTCTGAATCAAGGGGGAAGGCTTCTGGTGACAAACAATTCCATCTAAGGTGGTAGGTTTGCTAGGTGGGGATAAGTGGGGGTAGGAGGAAGAAGCAGAATACAAAAGGCTTTGGATTCTAGGGGAAAAGTTGGTTGGATTTTATTCAAAACTAGTAGAAGATCATTAGAAGCAGCCTGAAGGATACACGAAGAGAGACTGAGCTTATTTGAGGTCATAGTAGGGGGGAAAAAACTGGAATCAGAGGGCCTGGATTCAAAGCCTGACTCTATAGGAGGCTGGACAAGTCACTTAACCTCCAGGGTCTCATTTTTCTCATCTGTAAAATGAGGGGGTGGAACTAAATGATCTTTGAGGTCCCTGAGACCCTATGATGTTCTCCATATTCAGAATCCTTACCGAGTTCTTTCTTTCTCTTTCAGTTTTCCCAACTAATTAAGATCTTCAATTCACTGGGCCCAGAGAAGTTTCCACTTGTAGAACAAATGTTTTTCCCCCAATCACAAGCAAATGGTGAGTACGAGTGGTCTGCTTGAATTGTCTTTTGGCTCAGGGATCTACAAGGCTCTTTGGGAACTCGGTGAATTTACCTAACATAAAGGGACGGCATCATTTTGTATGAAGGAGAGGGAGGGGATGGGACAAGGGGATGCATGAGAAAACATTCTCTCACTCCTTCTGACCCTCTGACCCACTGAAAACTAAAGAGGTGTTGTGAAGTCATGTGGGGAGAGTTCTCATTTTTTCCCCAGAAAATAATGATCTCTTTGGGTTAAATGCCGGGGGGCAGGTCAAGTGGTAAATACAGACAGCCGTTTCTTTGGATCTGGCTTCTCAGCAAGGCAAAGAAGCCCTTGCCTGTGTGAATCTGAGGCCAAGCATAGAAGTATGTGGTCAGAGAAAGTAGGTGAAGACCTGTAACAAGTGGGGAAGAGATAATATTCTTCCTTTGATGTTTAAAATACACAACTATTCGTGTTTTATCTATCACTGGAAAGCAAAAGTAAGATGACGGTTCTTTCTTCACCACTGGATGCCACTGAAACTTTAAAAGGGACTCGGGAGTAGTACACAGGACCCAGGACTTGGGGCCAGGTCTGGCAGCCTCTGGCTTAAGGTTTATTGTGTATGTGGTCAAGTCACTGGGGTTGCTTGGTATCGTAGATGGGGTTCTGGGAATTCTTAGCTGTCTGGCTGAATGAAGCTGTAAAAAGTTCCCAAAAGAATGCCTATTATTGGGATGTAGAGCTGATTTCTATTATTCTTATAAACACATTGATCTCAACAACAGCCTTTCTTCCCAAAGAAGTTGCAGAGCCAAGTGAATTGAGTGCTGGACAGAAAGTCAGGAAGGCCCAAGTTCAAATCTTTGTCAGAGCTTTATTCATTGTGTAACTGTGGGAAAGCCTCTGTGAGACTCTGAGAAACCTCTATCAGCCTCAGAATCCTCATCTGTAAAACGAGCATCAGAACAGCTTTATCTAATAGTTCTTGTGAGGATCCAGGGAGATAATACCTTTAAAGTCCTTTGCTACTCTTCAAGTGCTTTAGAAATGCAATCTACTATTATTACGGTTTTGGATGGGAGTCAGGACTTCACGGGTTCCCTGGTACAGGGAATTTTTAGAGAAAGGAATTTCTTCTTCCAGTGAAGATGAGCAGCTATTCTATCATTTGTAGACTTGCCTGAAGTTAAGTGACTTTTACCCAGGGTGTCCCAAGCAATGTCAGAGGCACATCTTCCAAATTGGGTTATTTTATTGTGGTCATTATTACTGTCAGCATGCTCTTACTATCTCATTATCATCTTTTGCCAGTGGGATTGCCCTTCACAATGCCTTCACATAGAAGGCTCTTGGAAGTTGCTAGACTCTTACTGATTTTACTCAATGTTCTGCGAACTATTTTGTTGTTGTTCGGTCATTTCAGTTGTTTCTGACTCTCCATAACCACATTTGGGGTTTTCTTGGCAAAGTTACTGGAATGGTTTCCCATTTTCTTCTCCAGCTCCTAAGGCAAGCAGAGTTAAGTGACTCACCCAGGGTCACACAGCTAGTAAGTGTCTGAGGCTAGATTTGAACTCATAAAGTTGAGTCTTCCTGATGCCCAGTCCAATGTTCTATCCGCTGCACCACCCAGCTGCCCATTAAGTTATTTATTATTCATTTTTTTCTTAAGTGTCAGAGAGACCTTGGTACAAGTCATCATCGTGCTATGATTCCTTCATATTCAATATTCTGTGGACTCTTGAACACATAGATAAAATATTGGTTTTTGTAGTTGAATAAATGTACTCAATCTAAGGTCCTCCTCTGTGGGTTCACTGAAAACACCCTTGGTATGACTCCAGTATGATGATAAGGTTGATTGGTACCTCAGCATGTCTCTGCATGATTGTGATCTCCTTGGCCAAGTCTCTATATTGCAAAAGCTACTCGTTTCATTCAGCTTGGCATGGGTAGTGGAGATGGCAACATCTTTTAAAATGTGATTCTAGAGTTTTTATGAATCAGTTTTATGCCTGGGGTAATTGTTTGGTCTGAACCATGTTAATGGTCCAATTCCAGAAATGTATTGATTGAATTCTCCAGGATATTTGGAGGTCTGTATTTGTAGTACAGAATGAGATAGTATATAGATCAGCCCATCTGTACCTGAAAGAATGAACCTCTGAAATATAATTCTAGCTGCCAGATTATGGTGTGCCTGGTTTTCAGAAGGTGCTAAGTTTACATAGATAATGGGTTCTACCATCTTTCCTCTTTCCTGTCGTAAGCTGCATTGATTACTATCCATCTGGTTTCTGGTGGCAATAGTTTGATCCTGAATTGCCACAATAAATTCCTCTATATATACAAGCAAATCCAGCCATTTGGTGCCTGTCAAAATACTGGTGGCTGAGTTTAAGTGAGTGATACCCATGAAGTGCCTTTTGATTCCCTTCTTCTGTCTTAGCTATTTTATAGGCTCCATCTGGAGGTAAGTCACTTTCATTTATATCTGGCAAATCCAGTGGCATGTATGTGTAATCAGCTTTCATTATTACTTGTTGAACTGATGTCTGTTTATATCATATTTCTGTAGGGTTCTCTTTTTTACCTATTTGTCATACTTTTATTAATATTATAGGAATGTGCTTTTTTGTGGTTAGCTTTAGGTGGTCAGGGAATGTTACACTCCCCAATATGGGTAGATGTCACAGCTGAAGATCTGGCTCTTGGAGTGTATACAATTTTAAAACTGCCAGTCAGGACAATCCCATAAGAAGTAATGGTCTAGGGGCCAACGTCAGCGATTGAGCTAGAATGATGTCTTGGTGTGGTTGCAATCACAAGCAATAGCATGGACATTGTTTATAGAATGCTTGATTTGTGGTCCTATAGAACCGTCAGAAGCTAGGGAGACCATCTAGTCTGCCCCTCTTGTCTTACAAATGAGGACACCAGATAAAGCTCAATGAAGTGGTTTCTTGCTCACATGTAGGGCAGCCACGGAGGGTAGGAAAGCACACTGAGCTTCATGGAATAAGCGTCAGCTACCATTTTTATTCAGGTTCGGAGTTCCTTCCACTCCACTCCCACCTTGGACCCTTATTGGTTGTATAATCATGAGCATTTGCTGATACCCAAGCAATTTGCTAAGATTGGAAGTTACAGATGGGTCATGAGCTATATTGGTTGAGGGACTTCCCATTTGGAAGGATAAGATTACAGGTCTTTGACAGATTTATATGATGATGTTTATAACTGTGCCACGCAACCAGGGTTTTATGGAATAGCCTTCACCATGGACCCCACTTCTTAAGGAGGGTGGTGATTTTCCAAAGATTATGTATGCCTCATTGCAGATTAGATAAGGTTCAGACAATCCCTGTGAGTTTGGTGATCTACAAAGTCACTTCTCTGGGCCATAGCAATACAGTTCCCTAAGTCTCCACTTGGCTATGTTCCACTGGGTGGGAAGGAATTTGAGAGCAAGGGATGCACAGACATACACACACAACACAAAGGGGAGACCAGATAGTGTTTGTGATAGAGATAAAATCACTTTACTATTTAGAATAAAGGACACACTATAAAAAGTGAACATTATGCCACATGACCTTACAAGACAATATACATTCACGGAATATAAAATTCATAAATAACATGGAGGAAAACTGTAAACAGTGCTACAAAATTTAGCGACAAATACATTCCTTCCAGACAAGGTTTTCTCCTGGTGGTTTTCCCTCCCATAACACGAGGACGGCAGACTGGCTACCCAGAAGGGTTGGAGACGGTTGAGATGCCTATGGGTGCCACCAGCTCATTCAGTTCATTCTCTGAGGGCTTGATTAGTGCCAGAGAATATGCTCCCTCCATCTCATGTTCTTTCTCTTGACCAAGGGGGAAGAGGGAGATCTAATTAGAAGCTGTTGGTGTCTCTGTAGCAGAAACACAGCTGGATTTGGCATCAGAGGGCCTGGGTTCGAATCCCTGCTTTCTCATTTATTACCTGTGTAACCTTGGGGAAATCACTCAACTTTCCTGGGCCTCAGTATCCCCATCTATAAAAGGGGAGAGGGTTGAACAAGATGACCTTCAAGGTTCCGTCCAGCTCTAAATTCTCTGTCTGCTCAACTCCCCCATCACTCTTTCTTTTGGCCAAAACCATGCGTACTTTGACTTCCTGCTCCCTTTCAGCTACTCCATGACCTTTGTCTTTTTTAAAGAAGTAGGCAGCAGTGAAACTCTTAGGCACTACCCTGTGGTAACTGACTCCACCTTCCCACCACCACTGCCAGTGCCGATGGCATCCATGCATGAGGTGGACAGAATGTAGGGATGGTAAGAGATGACAGATTTGAGCCACCACTGTCATGTTATAATCAGAAGACAAATCATTCCAAAGAGGCAAGACTCTTGTGTCTGTTGGGAAGTATGTTTCCAATTAGCTGTTGGCTTCTAGCTCCCCTCCCTGGATCCAATTTTTCCTTTCCCAAGAATCACGGAGAGTGAACAGGATGAGCTCATGGGGATCTTGAACTGATATCTCCAGTGCCACCATGATCGTGATTTGGTGTTAGGGATGAGGGAAAAAGGCATCACCTGGCCAGGTAGGATGACTGCATCTGAAGTCAAATTCCTGGTCTGTCAGGACCCTGGGTCTATGGGTACCGCTAATGGGTAGGTTGGGAGTGAAAGAGAAGGCCGAGACAGCCAACAAACTCTGGATGCCAGACTTGACCTGTCAGAGGGGCAAAGCTCAACCCACAGCCATTCTCATCCTTCTTCTGAAGATTTATTTTTACATCCATAGGACAAGTCTTCCTCCCATGTTTTCACCAGTCACACAACTTTTTTTTTTTTGGCCTGCCTTGTTCTCTCTTCCACCAGGAAAATTCTTGCCACCCGAGGGCGTGCCCAAGTCAGATGTCACTTCTCCCAATGGAAGCAAAGAGTTATTGGCTCTCTGATCATCCACGTTTTGCCAGTCTGGCTGTCTACACATCAAATATTTTACCTTTCAAAATATTAATAAAATTTGGTGGCATATGGGGAGGGGAGGGAAAGAGTCTAGTTTTGCTTTGAAAAAAAATTGTGCAGATATTACAACCTACATACAACACAGAACTTACCAAAACAAAACAAAAAAAATTAACAATAATTTGAAGTACTGAGATGTCTCAGCTACATAAATGACCTTGAATTAAACATTAAGTGAACAGGTGTAGTCAACAAAGCTGTAGCTTATAGCAAGCTCAGTAATCACCCTTGGACATCACACAAGAGACTTTTTTTCCTTTTTTTTTTTTCTTTTTTTGCCAAGACCCCATTGTCTCTGCCCTGGTCTGGAGCTGGTAGACAGAGGTGGATTCCCCCCTACCATCACTTCTGTCTTCCCTGGAGGCCATTCAGCATTTGCCTTTTTTTTGAGGTCTTAGTTTGAGCCACTCCATTACCACCAGGGGGATTCTGAGGATCCTCTAAGACGGCCAGTGGCCAACCTGATTGGCTACCTTCTAAAGAAGGTACCACTCATGCCTGAAAAAAACTGGAGTTCAGGATAGCCAATTGGCCAGCCTGGTGGAGAGGGCTACAAAAAGGCTAAATGTTCTAGTTTGAGGTGACAGGAACCACTGGCCAGCTAGCCATATCATTCTTGGGCATAGCTGTTGTCTCCAGCAGTCTGGTTACCACCTTGTCTGCCTTGATTCTAAGTTTCTGCTCTCCAAGTCAAAAAGACTAGAAGGCAGAATAATGGCACTACGGGCATTCATAAACTTGGGTTGTTTCAAATGCCTTTCTTCAGGGGTTTGGGTATGTGTGTATATGTATATGCAGAAGTATCATGTCGGTGATTTAAAATACAAAACTAAACCAAAAAGCAGAACAGCTCTGTTTCCTAAAGTGGAATGAACTGAAGGTTCAAAATCATGTTTGATAAATAACTATAATCTTAAAAAAAAAAAAAAAGAAAGAAAGAAATACTTGTGTTAAATGTCACCATCCCCAAAACTGTAAAATGCACATCAACCATTTTCTCAGTATCTCCTATTTATCAGCATTAAAACTTAAAATAATTTTATTTAATAAGAGAATTTATATTATAGTTTTCTTTAAAAAAAAATCAAAAGAGAACAAAAAGCCCTCCAGCCCCCAGCAAAGTCAACCTCTCTAATGTCTAACACCACTCGCTATGCTGTGGAGACAAGGAAGAAGAGTACTGTAGGCCATGGGGCCCAGCCACGGAAAGCCGGGAAAGGAGATATTGTACAATCCGGCCAGTGCTGGAAGCAATGAGAACGCGGCTGCTCCATCAGGTGAGTGAGGCAGATTCCATTCTCTCCCCTACCTGGGCTCACTCCACCTCCAACTCTCCCTTCTCCTTGCCCCGGCTGCCATGTTGAGGCCACCAGCCTTGGAGTGGGGAGGAGAGGTTCTAAATGCTCTGGGCCCTTGCCCTGGAGTTCTCAGGAGTTGAAAAATTTAATATCAAAAGCCAACAACTTGGAATGTCAAAACAAAAAAAGGCAGGGAGAAAGAGGATTTCAACAGCATTGAATGTAATTCTGTGTCCTGTAAAAACTTAGCTTATACCTCTGTGTGGCTATAGGTATGTGTGCACCTAATACATTTCCCCCCCCTCCCCCTTTGAGCTAAAAGCTAATTTGGCAATGGTGTTCTCTAAGCAACATTCTAAAGGACTCTAGCTACGAGTTGTGTGTATGTATTTCTTAAATGTACATGTTAAGCTCCCTGCCAAACAGAGACCACAGAGTTTCTAGGAGCACTTTTTGGAGGTCTCAGCCTTTCACCTGGACTGCTGTAAGAGGCAGGCACATTTCCTCCTGGCTCTGCACCGATGAAACTGTGCACTCTAGGGAGAGTACCCCCAGCCTGGGGGGAGGGGAATCCTGTGGGTAAGGGAGGGCTGGGGCACACACAAGCATGCCCACCTCCCCCTCATGTCACGCTCTCTGGCGTGCATGCTCTCGTTCATACAGGCAGACAAGAGTTCCAAGAGGCTGTTAGGGGGATCCAGTCCCATCTCCTCATGGTTTGAAATTCCCCACATGCCTTGGGATTTGTCTCTTTGCTGGTCTTGGCCCATCCTATCGCTTTCCTCCCTTCAGAAAATGCCTTGTCTGTATATAATTTGTGCACTGGGGAGAAAGAGGGAGGGAGTAAGGGAAGGGACGGGGGGGGGGGATTACAATGCCCAACTGGGATAGTTTTTAGATTTTTGTTTTCCTAAAAAAATATAGATTATATAGACACTGATAAAAGAAGTTTGCTCTCCTTGTTCATTTCTGGCAAGCCATCATAGATTTCCCCAGGTGGAAACAAGTGATGTCAAAGCCAAAAAGAAGGGGGGAGGGGAGGGAAACGTGATTAAAAATAAACTCATTATGATGGCATAGACTTTTCCTTTTAAGTGTTCGAAGTGCTAAATTGGCGAGAAAACAGGCACTAATTTCATTGTCATCGTCTGGTAAGAGTTAGTGTCCGAGGGAAGCTCAGCCGAAGAGGGAGGGAAGGGGGAAGGGGAGGGACGGCAGCTCAGGGATCTGTGGCATTGATGATCGTTTTGTCCGGGGGCGCCCAGCCCCTGTACCAGCTGCAGTAGCCACCCTTCTGCCGGATGCAGGCATAGTGCTTGGACTGGTACCCTGGGTAGCCAAAGTTGGAGAGCATGTCCGTCCAGAGACACTCATTCTTGGAAGTCACGAAGCAGGGCAGGTAATAGCATGACTTGATCTGTAATTATAGAAGCAAGTGGGGTAGGTGAGTCGCTGGAAGGGACCTTGGAGGCTACCGAATCCAACTGTTTTACAGATGGGGAAACTGAGGCAGAGATGGTCACAGGTGGGATCTGATCTCTTAAGCCACAGGACATTCAAAGGGGTACAGAAGGACCGCTGGGTTATCTTGATGAAGACAGGGTAGCCCTGACCCTGAATTCAAGTCCAAAATGTAAACATGGCCCAGAAATCGAAAGAGGAGACCTGGGTTTTAGTCTCTGCTCCGTCCCTCACTATCTACATAGCTCTTGACACCCAGTGTTCTGAGGTCCCTCCCAGGTCTCACATCCTTCCCAACTGTTTGCTGAGTCATGATTGACCACAGGGAAAACACTCTCTCGGTGGTCCTAGGAATAGCTTTGGCCAAGTTGTGGTCCCTCCCTGGGCCTTGGTGTCCTCCTTTGTTAAATGAGATGACCTCTGAGATCTCTTCTAGTTCCTCACCTGCAAAATGTGGATATAATATTTGCACCATCTTCCCCCATAGCAGGGGGGCAAGCACTTTGTCACAATTGAGGCTGAAAGAAAAGGTATGCTTCTTCTCACCCCAGCTGGGTTTCTGCCTTTCCCCCTACCTCTGACTCTGCTTTCAGGGTTTTAGCAGAGCACCTCCTGAGTTACGGCCCCAGCCAAGGAGGCTGAAGGGCCCTCCTCTGCCTCTGGCTGCTGAGCAGCCCTATCGTCCATCAAAGGGCAGGATCCTTTGTAAGTGGCTGGCTTCCATTCAGATCCTAGAGAGAAGCCCAGCCTCCTTCCTCCAAACACAGACGTACCGCACTCTCCCGTCTTCTGCACAGGATGACAGGGACCTCAAAGGCCGTCCAACCCCCTCAATTTACAGAGAGGGGAAACTGAGGCCCAGGAGGAGAACCCCAGAGCTGGTTCAAACTGTTCCTTTGACAGATGAGGAAGAAGCACCAGAGAGGTCACAGACCTCAGAGGCCAGCCAGCCCAACCTCCTTGCTTCACAGATCAGGAGACTGAGAGCTCTGGACCCACCCATCTAAGCCATTTATTTTATCTATGAAGAAACCAAGATGTAAAAAGTCACCCACGGTCATATAGATAAGTGAGGGACAGACTAGATTCAGATCCAGGTCCCCCTGTGCTTCCCCCTCCTCCCCTCCCACCATCTTACCTTGCAGTTGCAGCCCAGGTGATAGCGATAATTGAGCCCCTTGCGCTGGGACAGGGTGAGCCTGTCCCACCTCTCCACGAAGTTACACAGGCCCGTGTACATCTTGCCATCGTATACCCGGCCTGGGAGAGGAGAAGGAAGACGGAAGGTCAGGTCACACCTCTGCCTGGCATCGAGCTAAGAAGGGACCAGACTGCTGAACCGGCTGCCACGTTTTACGTTGGGAGGTGCCCGTAATCTGGCTGATGGCCTTCAATCAATTACCAGGCATTCATGAAACACTTACTATGGGCCAGGTAATACCAGACTTTGGGGATACAGAGCCAAAAAATGAACCAACCCCTGTAGTCTGAGGGGGAATCAAGCGTTTATCTCTGGGCCTCAGTTTCCTCACCGAAAATGAGGGCATTGAACAAGCTAGCCTCTGATGCCCCTTACCAATATCAACCTGTGATCCCTTTAGATGGTGGGGAACTCAGATGTCCTCCCTTTACAGATAAATAAACTGAGGCCCAGAGAGCTGCTGAGCATTACAACCAAGTGTGTGAGACGGGATTCAAGCTCATCTCCCTGGGTCCACGCTCAGCCCCCTCTCCACTGTGCTGCAGGGGCAGGGGCTCTTTGGGGGGGTGAGCCGCTCCTCCCTCCTTCTCTCCCGACTGCAGACACTGTAACCACCCAAGGCGGCCGTTGGCAGACAGCTATCCCCTCGGGGGTGGGGAGGGCCCTTACCTGTCAGCAGATACTGGTATTTGTTGACTTCCAGCTTGAGCCCACAAAGGCTCTCAGAAGCTTCCGTGTGGATGTATTGCACGTGGGGCATCTTGCTAAAGCCTCTGTACATCTGTGGGGAAAGGAAAAGGGGGGGATCTCTGTTAGATGCCAGGCTTGGGCAGTGAGGACAGATAATCATTTCTTTTCTTCTTTTTAAGGTTATTGCTTTTTTTTATAAGTCTCCCTCATTTCCAAATATATCCCTCTCCCCTCCCTTAAGAGCCATCCTTTGTAGTCACAAATGAGAGAAAGAAAAAAGTAATTCAGCAAAATTGACCAATGCCCCAACTGAGTCTGACAGCGTCTGTAGTATCCCCACCTTTAATGAATCTGCCTCACTTCTCTTGCTCTATTCCTTCTAACCCAGACCCCCCCCAAAACCCTTGTTTCAACCCATATTAAAATAGGTGGTTTTCCTCATTCACAGTGCCTGGCATCTTGAAATAAAAATACCCCAGGATTTTCAAAGATGGCACACTCACTGGATCAACGGTTGGTACTAAGGGCTGATGAATCTGAGACTGCCTTAAGAAGCACAGAGCTCAGATAAAGGAAGCCCTGGCCAGAGCCCATAGAATTGCGTGTCTGGAATTACAAGGGCCCTGGGGCCCGACTTATTCAACCCCCTCATTTTACAGATGAGGAAGCTGAGGAACATCTGAAACACCGTCCTCCATCCTGGGTTCCATTTTTGAAAGATTTAAAGAAGTTTTGTCAATACCTTTTGTTTGTACATTAATATCATTTCTAGATTTGCCCAGTAACCAACCCTTCCATTTACTCTATATGGACCTGCTAGGTACCCGAGTATTCACATATGGTCTCCCCCACCATTCCCTGTGATAGTGTGAGCTCCTTGAAGGCTGGGACAGTGGTGTTGCCGGTCTTTGTCTCTCCAAAGCCTGCAAAGAGTGAGCACCCAAATGCTTTGAGAAAGAAAATGGGTACCCCAGTTTAGGAAGGGTACTGATGACCTTGATAGTGAAGGGGACCTTAAGAAAATGTGATTCGAGAACCCTTTGAAGCAAAGGAGGAATTTTTAACTGGGCAAAGACAAGACTTGGGGGTGATAGGAAAGCTCTCTTCAGATACACAGAAGAGGGATTAGTCTTTTTTTGCTTGGCTCCAGAAGACAGAATTTCAAGCAACAGACAGAAGTAGCAGAGAGGCAAATTTCAGCTTAAGGTAAGGAAAAACATCCTAACAATGAGAGTTGATCAAAAGTGGAATCAGCTGTGTGGGAGGTACTGAGTTCCCCATCACAAAAGGTCTTCAAATGCAAAGTAGGTGACCGCCAGTACAGCAGGGTATTCCTGTTCAGGTATGGATTAGGTGAGGTGGACTCCAAGGTCCTGTGATTCAGAATCATCACCCAGTGCCTTGTCCTCTGTCTTTTATTCATCCAGCCTACAAAAAAAAGATGCCTTAACTGGGCCACTCTGATCCCGGACCCCTCCCCAGTTCTGTAAAATGTTCCAGGTTAAGGGAGTACAAGCAGCAGCCGTGCTTCTCAGCTCCCCTTACAGACACATGGATTGCCACTGAGATCCAAACGAGAGGAGGGAGGGACAGCTGGATTTCTCAAATCCCTGTCCCACCCAATGCCTCACGGAACACATGAATTTTCAGGGCTGAATCACTGCAGATAGCAACTCTCAGAGCTGACACTGTAGAACAGAGAGGCAGGTGAGATGGGAGACAAAGAATTCTGGGAGTAGCGCCAGAAGACCTTCCTAGCTGTGTGGTTCGGATGGTCGAGATCCATTTGGGGCACCCCCTTTTGGGATAAGCTCAGGAGAGCCCAAAAGAGGGTACCCAGGAAAGTGAGGGGCCTTAAGTTTATTCCACACGAATATGAGCTGAAGGAACTGCATGCGCTCAGCTGTCTGAGCATCTGAAAGGGTGTTACCTTGAAGAGAGATTACACTTGCTCTTTGATGCCCTAGAGGGCAGAACTCGGCCCCACTGCCTCACTGTCCAATGACCCAGAACAAGATTTTGTAAACTAGGCAGGCATTAGAGAACCACTGTCTAATCCCCGGATACACCGGGATCGAAGGGCTTGGAGCTCAAGAGCCAGCAGGGACCCGTGAGGCCCATATGGTCCAGTCTCTCACTTTACAGAAGAGGAAACTGGGGTCCAGAGAGACAAGACTTGCTGAAGTAGCAAGTGCCTGAAGGCACGCTCTACACCCAGGCCAGCTAATCCTTCCCAATGTGCCTCCTCTTCCTGCCAGAAACTAATCCCAGCCTCACCTTTAACTCCAGGTGAGACAGGAGAGGGCTTTGAGTAGGAGATGGTGGCAGGATCCCAGGAGTTATACCTGGAAGGGACTTCAGAGGCCATGGAGTCTAGCCTCTTCATTTTAACAGATGAGACAGCAGACGCTGGAATGGATGCTTTCACCCTGTAATTAACCCTCTTCTCAGTTTGACCCATCCAGTCCAGACAAGGAGCTACCTTTCACCTATTTAATGAAGCCCAGTTCAAATCCACCGAGGGGCAGGAGGAGGGCACTGAGTCCACTGGGCCAAGTTCCCAACAACCTTGGTAGTGGGTGAGCTGAGGAGGGCACCCATGGCTGTTACCCAATCCCCTTCCCATCAGGGCCTCTCCCATTATGGCCCACGGTGGTCTCCAATGAACTGTTGTTTATAACAGGACAACGTCTCTATTCCGGTTTTTCTGGCAAGAGCTATTAATTTGCTTATGCTAATTAATACAAACCAGACATCACCTCATGGGTGTCTCATCAGAAGCAGCTTCATGCTCCCCTCTCTGTCTGCAATTGTGGTTTCAGTGGGCTGGAGGGGTTTTGGCCTTAACAGAGGGTCCAGGGACCCACCGGGTACAGCTTTGGGCTCCAGCCCTTCTCTACCCCTGGGAAATGTAGCCAAAGTCTGACGTGCCACTTCCATTGGATAGTATTAGGAAAACAAAACAATAAATCTGTATTGCAAAAAACTAGGTTTGAATCCTACCTCGGTCTTCCTATCTTGGTGTAGGACCTAGGACAAGTCAAGTCAAAAAGGAGTTAAGTGCTGTGTGCCAGATACTGCCCTCAAGGAGCTCACAGTCCCTTCACAAGTACAGTGGCTGGCAATAAAACATGCACCCGTTCAACCCAACCGAATTTTTTGAGCCTCAGTTTCTTCAACTGTCAAATGGGGGGGACAACAGTAATGTTTATTCAACCTACCTCAAAGGACTATTTGAGGAAAGTGCTTTATAAACCCTAAGGTACTGCAGATTAAATGTGTGGGCAACGGATTGGAAAGGGGAGGAGGCTGGAGGCATGCAGGATACAGAAGAGCTGATTACACTAGTCCAGGTAAGAGAAAATGAAGTCATAACCCAGGTATTGGCTCTGTGAGTGGAGAAAAGGGGGATGATTTGAGGGGTGCTGTGGATATGCAGGGGGAAGGGAGACCCTGAGTGACTGGGAGGGTTGGTGCTGCCCTTGATAGAATCAGAAGGACTGGAAGGGATGGATTTTGAGGTCCTTAATTATAAAATTATAAAAAAAAATAAATTATAAATAATTATAAATATATAATCTCCATAGATAGAGAGAAGGAGAATTGAGCTGGGAACAAAAATCAATCCATGCACATTTATTAAGCACCTACTCTGCTTTCTACGCACAAGGTGGTAGGGCTACAAAAACCAGAACTAAAACAGCCCTAGACTTCAAGGAGCTTACATCTTATGAGAAGAGGTAGAAGACATTGACTCTGCCCTCCAAGAGATTATGTTTACAGAGCCCCTCCCTGCAAGAGTCCTGAGAGGTAGGGAGCACAAATAATTACTGGCACCATGTTTTAGATTAGGAACTCAAGGCCGAGAGGTGAAGGGACACACCAATGCTGTACCTGGAATGTGTCCGGTGAATGATGTTGCCAGTACAGGTATATGTGAGTTCCAGGGTGGGGTAAATCCCAGGAGAAAGGCCATGAGCCCAAGCGTCAAAAGATATTCCCTTCCCCCCCACCCCCAATTATGTATTTGCTAGAAGCAAGGGCTGAAGGAAGGAAGTAGGTACCACTAGAGCCAAACAGATTAGCCCAGGGGGGCCTTCCTGCCCAAGGTCAGGGTGAAACGCATGAGTCAGTGTCCTGCTCCTTGGGACAACCCCGAAGTCCAGGCTGGACACACTGTCCCACACGTGCAGTCCCTCCCCCAACCAAAGGCCCAGGAGACTTTTCCAGAGAACGAGAGCTCCCGGCAAAGGGGACCACTTTCTCACGGTCTTGCTGGCAGAGATAAAGGCTCACGCTGATTAGGGCTGCACCTCCTGTCAGCCATCACTCCCACCTGCCCCATGATCCCTCATGATTTAGAAAACTAATCTCCAGGTTGGGTTTCATAGCCAACCTTATTTCCCCAAATTCTTGACCCTTCCCTTTAGACATCACCTGCCCTTTCCAGGGTGACTGTCTGATTACAGACATTTATGGCCACTGATTTAGAGTGGGAAGGCACCTCCCAGACCATCTAAACCTAAACCAATTTTACAGATGAAGAAACAGAGACCATGGGAAGCTAAGTGACTTAGGGTCAGAGATCTGGAACTGGAAGGACTCGGAGACCGTCTGGCCCAGCACGACGATTTTACAAATAAGGCAAATAAGCCAAGGTAAGGTGTCACTGCTTCAAGGTCACACCTAGATTAAATACTGGAGGCCAGGCTGGAGGGAAGGAGCAGGGCTGGAACACCAAGATTCATGGAGAAACTGTCTCTGCTATTTCCACTCAGCGAAGTGTCAAGACTACCCTCTTGTCAGAAACAGAAAGCATGGGCATTCTGTCCCGCATTTAGGCTTCCTTTAATCCTGCTGGGAGGGAGCCCTCCACCACCCTGGCTGACTCTGGGGCAGACTCACTAATCCCATGGAACAAAGCAATTGCAGACAGGCCCCAAGCTCCTGCCAACACACACGTGGGACTTGTCTCTTCTCTCTCTCACAATATTTTTTTTCTGATACACCCTTGGCAAGATGTCACAGAGGAAGAGCTAAGCGGCTGGTGAGTGGGCCAGAGCCAAACTCTGTTCATTGCCTGTTAATGCTAGAAGGGACCTTCGGGGTCATCGATGCTAATCTCTTCATTTTAACAAATAGGGAAACTGAGGCCCAGAGAGGGCACCCCAAAGTATAGGACAGTGAGTGGCAGAAGCAAGATTCAAACCCAGAGCATAGATTTAGGGCTAGAAGAGATCTCAGAGGTCACCTAAGCCCACCCACTCATTTTTCAGAGAGTGGTAAAGAGGCTTACCCACAGTCACTCTGGGACTGGGGGATTCTAGGTCAGCGAATGCCAAATTATCTCATGCTGTTTAAATGATGATGACATAACTCAGGACAAGAGCAGGTAGAAACAGGATGGGGAAGAGGAAGGCAGATTTCCTTCCTCTGTGGATTCCAAATTGAGATGCGTGCCTTCTCTAATTTGAGGGCAGTGAAAACCTTGTGAGGAGAAGCCTCTGAGAGCAGGCTAGAAGGGACTAAATACCCCAATACATGGTAATAATGGGAGAAGACCACCCCTGACACAGGCTGCCATACAGGCTGAAAGTTTGCAGATGATGTGCAGACTTCTATTAACGGAAGGGGGTTTCTATTGGGGAGGACCTTAAACTCAGGAACTCACAAGCCTAGGCATAAGAATAACAACAGTCGATACTTATGTAGCATGCACTAGTTACAAAGTACCTCACACACGAATCACAGAATAATAGAGTCTTAAAACCCCAAAGACCTGGATTCAAATCCTGATCTAGACATACACTAATGTATAACCCTGGGGAAATCACGTAATCTCTGACTTACCTAAGCAAATCCTCAAACTATAAAATCCAGAACAAGTGCTTTTCTGCATTGGTGAAAGGAGTTTTTCTCTTCTGGGAGTTCCCTGTGCCTATGACATCATAGGTTCAGGTTCCATCCCTTTTACAGATAAGTAAACTGAGGCCAAAAAACTAAGCATCTTGACCAAAATGCCAGAGCTGTGAAATAACTGACATAGGCTGAAAGTCTAATACTGTATCCAGGGGTTCTTGACCTGAGGTCTGTGAACTTTAAAAAATATCTATTTTTGCTAACTCCATTTGTTTTTTGGAGGGGGGGAAGGCAATCAGGGTTAAGTGACTTGCCCAAAGTCACACAGCTAGTAAGTAAGAGGCTGAATCTGAACTCAGGTCCCCGTGACTCCAAGGTCAGTGCTCTATACACTGCACCACCTCGCTGCCCTGCCACATGTATTCTAAGAGAATCGGTTTCCTTTGTAACCCTACCTATTTTGTTTTATGCATTTAAAAACACTGCTCTGAGAAGGGGTCTAGAGACTTCACCCAACTCACCAAAGGGGTCCATGAAACACAGTCAAAGAATCTCAGCTCTGCCTTCTCAGTTGATGAGAGGGTGTGAGTATTCCCTGCACACTTTCACTAATCAGTTGACTAACTTCCTGGGCATGGTTCCAAATTGTTTTCCAGAACAGCTAGACCGATTCACAGCTCCACCAACAGTGTATTAAAGTGCCTGGTTTCCCATGGCCCCTCCAACATTTGTTTTTTTTTTCCTTTTTTGTCAGCTCTCCCAATGTGATGCGGATGTATTCATCCATGAGTATTTATTAAGCATCAACTGTATGCCAGTCGCTGTGCTAGGCTTTACAAGGGAATCCCTGACCTGAGGCTTTCCAGGAAGACTGACCCAAAGCATGAGGGACTTGCAATGGACTCTCGATTATCGCTCAGATTCACTCGAGGACCAGCCCACCTCTATTTCCAGTCTAAGTCTGCCCCAGTCCAGGACCTCCCATTTCTAAGGCCCACAAAGCAGGGAAGGATACAGTGGGGCCACTCTGGTCCCAGGGGAGCTTCGTCCCTGCTCTCCTCCCAACAGCTCTCAGCAGCACCTCATAAAACAAGAGATTGCTATGGAGCAGGCATTTCTGACCCTCCGCTTCGTCTAATCCATTTCAGATTCCTTCTGACCACTGCCAAGGCCTTTAAAAGGTGGAGGGGGGGGGGAGGTAGGGCTCCCTCAGCTTGTTTTTCCCAGCTGCCCCACACTCCCTCATCACTGCCGCCTTCTACAAAGATATAAACTAGTCTCAAGACTGGGCTGCCTGGGCCAAGGGAAGCAAGCCAGGGCAGATTTTTAACATTACATAACAAGAGGTCAATGGGTATGTCCAGAAATTCAAAAAATAAGATTTGAAGAAGTAGGTTACATGAAATCTGAACATAAGGAGTGGAATGCATTCCAGAGGCGTCCATCCAGCAGTCCCTCCCCCCACCCCCCAAATCTACATCCCTCAAGATTTAGCCAGCTCAAAGCCTAGCTCTTTTTTTCATTCTTCACCAGCCACTTGTAAACCTCCCCGATGTGAGTATGAAGAAAGGCCAACATGGTAGGGTAGATGGAAGGCCTGCCTTGGGGTCAAGAAGCCCCCGAGTTCAAGTCCTGCCTCTGATTCATTGCTGGTTATGTGACCACAAAGTTACCCAGCCTCTTGGTGTCCCCAGACAACTGTTTATGACTACAAGGTACAGAGGAGTTGCTGATTTGAAAAGGTAGAGGGGAGTTTTATGCTGAGAACTCCCTACAATGATGAAATCTGAGATCCAGAAGGGAAAAAAAAAGTTTGTGTGTATGTATATTTATATATTTGTATATATACATCTATATAACAACAATAATAATAATAACAGCTAGCATTTATATAGAACTCTGAGGTTTGCAAAGTCCTTTACATGTGTTAATTCATTTAGCCCATAAAGGTCCATGATGTTAAGATACAGACCTTGCCCTATAGGAAACCTGGCTGATTTTGTCAGACAGGGAGTGGGAATGGTAACTCCCTCTTTGAATACAGCAATTAGTGAAAAAGCATTTAAAAGTAAGCCTTACCTTAGCTACTCTGGACTCGTGCTGAAAAGCATCCCCTCTCTCCCCCCAAGAGAGAGAAGGGATGCATTTGGAATGTACACTGAAGTCCAATTTTTTAGCCTTCTCTATTTTTTTTTCATACAATAGGGTTAATATGGAAATATACTTTACATGATTTTGCATGTATGACTCACATATTGTTTGTCTTCTCAAAGGGTGGGAGGGAGGGAATTGGAACTCAAAAAAAGAACTTTTAATGAATGTTAAAAATAAAGAAATCATTTTAAGAGTAAAATTCAAGTGAGCTTTACTATGTGCTAAGCACACAGAATGTGGAATAGAAGCCCCTTTTGGGCAAAACCAAATTTTCTTCCTTTGTGTTCCTAGCACAGACAGCATAAGAGAGGATCTGGACTCATGATTTCACTGGCCCAGGGAACTCTCAGATAAAGACACTCCCTCTAAGAATGCAGGTCTGGCACCTTCTCTCACCTTAGAGCTGTCTAGAGAGCTAAGACATAAAGTGAATGTTGGTTCCCATGTGCAGCACATAATCTGAAGCAGAATTTGAACTCAGTTCTTCTGACTCCCAAGGCCCAGCTATCTGTGGTCACACAGTTCATTAGCAACTGAGCCAGATCTATGGATTCCCAGCTGAATATTGTTTCTATGACACCACCCTTCTCCAGCTTGAGAGATACTCAGCGTTAAGGAGAGGGCGGCCCGTCACTCCCTGAGCTTATCTTTATTCTTCCAGAGGGATGGTGGGTTAGGGTTGTATGTGCTTGGAGACCAAGTATAAGCAAAAGCCGGAACCATGCTTAAGGGAGGGCAGACCCCTCTCACCTTCATCTGCTTGATGGTGTATATCAGTGTCCCAAAGGGTCCCTCCTTCACCAGCTTCTTCCCGACCACCTTGGCACGGATCACTGGAGAACAAGAGAAAAACATGGAAAACGATATTTATTAGAGGCTTCCAATGCCAGAGAAATCAACTCCACACCCCACTAGCATGTGTCTCAGGGGGAGGTCTCTAGCCCCAAGTTTCTCTGGAAAATCCATTTGTATTTTTGGAGCCAACTGGAAAGATGATTTTGTTTACATGAGCAAAGACTCTGAAAAGGGTGAGAAGAAAGGGAAAACTGGCATTGTCCAAGTTTGTTCCACAAATAAGTCGTAGCTTCGCACCTCGGCTTTTCTCCTCGGGTAGTCAGGTACCCTTGTGGCTTTTTACTGCTTTTAAAAAACTGGATCTCAGTACCACTGATCCCTCACCCTTCTTTTCAACCTCCTATGAAGCAATGCCATGTGGATCCCTCCCTGGCTTCTGAGCTGTAGCACAGTGAAAACCTTTCATGGGATCATGGGTCTAGAGCTGGGAGAAACTTCAGGGACCACTGAGTCCAACCCACCCATTTTACAGAGTTGGAAACTGAGATCCAGGGGAGAATGATTTTGAAGCAGGCTTTGAGCCCAGGGGCTCTGACTCCAAAAGCCCCCCAAGGGGATCGTAATAAAATATTTACAGCGCTTTAAAGTTTATAAAATTGCTTTTCTTACAGTTGAAAGATAGTAGGGCGTTGTGGGTTAGCATCCAGAAGACCTGAGTTCAAATCCCACTTCAGATGCTAGCTGTGTGGATCTCAGTCAAATTGTTTAACTTCTTTGTGACTCAGTTTCTTCATTTGTGAAAAGAGGGGATTGGACTCTATAACCGGCCTCTGGGGTCTCTTTTAGCTAACTCTACGATCCTATATACTCTAGGAAATAAGGATAAATAGTCAAGAATTATTGTCCCCATTTAATAGGTGGGAAAGAGTGCCAGGGAAGTTAGAAGCCCGAGTCCTTGCTGATAGTATCAGCGGTGGGACTCAAGCTCTGACCTAATTCTATGATAGCCCACTGACCCTCCTTTATACTATTATTCTTTTTTCTTTCCAATTTGATTGTCATTTTTAACCTCATTTTTCTACTTGCCCCATCGCCACCCTCCTAATCCACTTCCTCCCTGCCTTCACTCATTCCCCTGCTGCAGCCGGGCGCCGTCCTTTGCTCCCAGAATAAATACTCCCCCAAATAGAGCTGTCATGTCATCTCCTCCTCAGCAGCCTCAAGAGGTTTCCTGTTGCCTGTCATATCATATCTGAACTGACATTCAGGCTCCCCATCAACTGGGCCCCCTGTGCTTACGCAGCATTTCAAGGCTTACAAAGTGGTTTGCAGTAAGGAAGTACTGTGGTGCTTGATGTACGATGGGCAGGCGCTGGATTTAAAGGCTAGAGACCTGGGTTTAAGTCCTGCTACCTATGTAACATTGGCCAACATTAAACCTCAATTTAATGAGGTTGAATGATGAGAAGGTCGAACTAAGGCCTTGAAAGCTCCTTCCAACTTTAGATCAGCGACTCTATAAGCTCCCCAAGCCTCAGTTTCCCCATATATAAAATAAGAAGGTTAGGCTAATGGTGTCAGAGGCCTCTCCCAGCTCTCAAGTCTTTGATTTAAGCTCCTGGACAGCCCTCTGGCTTTGGAGACATCACTTCCCCAAGAGCCTCAGTTTCTTGTAAAACTGGAACGTCTTTATATTGTGTGTATCTCACAGGGTTACTGTCAGCTAGATTTGAGAAGGATTTTGGAAAGTATAAAGAATAACCTAGATGCAAGCTGAGCTTATAATCCTCCACACATGCCTTGCTAATGAGGACAAGACCTCAGTGGTCCCAAGGGGAGAAAGGAGGAGTCAGCATCAGCAGTGTCGACTCATACACAATTCTCCACTTGGGCAAATGGATACTTCCACGGTTACGCTAAATGCAGAGTTAGCCAGAATACCACCCAAGACCCCCAGTGAGTCTAAATCCATCTAAGTGGCTGTTGGCAGCACCTCCACAGCTCAGTGTCCATAAGGACTCATCTCTACGGCAGCTGGAAGGGTAAGAAAGCCAAAGGCAGGTTGCAATGGGGAGGACAGAGTAGCCTCGCCTCCCCTATTTGCCCAGCTTTCACAACAGATTATTTCTTCATTTCAGTTACAGGGACAGCCATCACCACCACCCCTCACCTTCCCATAGTACTTTATGTTACAAAACTATCACTGAGTAAGCAGCTACTAAGAACCTACTAAGTGCATGAGACAGTAGAAAGTCAGGGGGCCTGAATTCAAATCCTGCCTCTGACACTTAACCACTGGTATGACCTTAGGCAAAGGGGTTTAACCTCTCAATTTCCTAATCTGTAAAATACAGGAGCTAGACAAGACTGCATCTGAGCTTCCTCCCAGCTCTGGATTAATGATCCCTATGTCTGGGACTCTGTTTTCTTGTTTGTAAAATAAAGAAATTGGATTAGATGTCTTCTGATATCTGTTAGCTCTGCATCTTCAATCCTATCACCCAAGACTCAGTTTCCTCATCTGTAAAATGAGGGATTAGGACTAGATGACTCTAAAATTCCCTTCCAGCTTTGTAGCATATCCTACGATCCTATGACCTTTACCTCCCCAAAAGCTCTTACAGTCTCAGTTTCCCCCTCTGTAAAAAGAGGGAGCTGGACCAGATGACCTCCAAGGTCCAGTCTAGCTCAAAAACCTATGATCCCCACTATCCCACTAAATGCAACTTCCTGTATTGGGTGAAGGGGGAGGAGGGTATGTGTGATAAAACTTCCTGATCCCAAAGAGAAATGAGATCATACAGACCCACGAATCAGCAAAAGCCCTGGCCAAGAAAAGGAAAAGGCACCAACCTCAAGTTTTTCTTCATTTGCTCCCCTCCCAAAACATCATTTCACTGGCTTTCAAGTCAGGAGAAATCAGCCCTCTGCTATCTACTAGCTCTTTGGCCATGGCCAAGTCATGCTGACTCTGTATGTTTCCAAGGCGAGACTAGAACCCAGTGTTCTAGGTCCAGCTCTCTTTCCACTTTTGTCTTTATATTCACAGCCCTTAACACAGTCCCTGACACAGAGTCCATATCTAATACTCTTTGAAATCCACTGAATTAAGATAATATATTTGAGGTTATCTTAGCCCAAAGCTCTCAGATTAGCAAAAAAAAAAAAAAATAGGAAACTGAGGCTGGAAGATCTGGAACTTGATCACAATCCCACAGCCACCAAGGGGCAGAGCTGGGATCTGAACCCCAGGAGGTCCTGACTCCAAGCCTAGCTCTCTCTTCTGCTTCTTAGTCCTAGCAGGAAGGGGGAGGGGAGGCGGGAGAGGGCGTTGCTTTGGCACTCTCCTCCTCTATAAAATCATTATTTTATTGACTTTGAACCTCCATGTGGACTGCAGACAGCCCAGGCTTTGAACAGAAATGGAATTCTGGTGGCAAACAGATCCCCACTGCCAATGTGCCTATTAGCCTGTTTCCACAGGTTTTCCACATGCTATGAATTAGCATATTCAAAGGGATGCAGATACCCAATGAGCGGCTGCCTCTCCCCTCTCCCCACTCCCCCATCTTCCCGTCAATTGAATCCAGACCTCTTTTACTAGGCTTTATAATTGAATTCCCGTTTCTCCAGCAGTCTAGGGGGCTAAAAGGCCACCTACTCCAACCCCCCAAACAGCATTTCCCCCTACATGAGAACAAGTTAGAGTCTAACTCTGTCTCCACTAAAATACACCCACCTAAAAGACTCCATCTTTTCTTTATCTGCTCGCATAGGGATGCATAGTACATTGGACCCTCCATCATCCATCCTGTGAATTAATCATGTCTTCTTACTTTTTCTTTTCTCCAGCCTTTCCCCAAGCTGCCTGATGATGTCCTCATTTCTGCCTCTTAATACCCCTGGGATCCTTCAAGATAGACCTCAAACACCACTTTTCATGTGAAGCAAGTCCTACCCCCTCTACCACCACTAAATAAACGTGTATTTAGTATTATTATTATTGTTATTATTTTGGCTAAGGCAAACAGGGTTAAGTGACTTGCCCAGGATCACACAGCTAGTAAGTGTTATGTGTCTGAAGCCAGATAGAACTCCAGGACTGGTGCTCTATCCATTGCACCACCTAGGTGCTCCTATTATTCTTTATCTACTTTTATTGTCTCCCCTAGCAGAACACAAACTCACTGAGGGCAGGCATCTTTTTTGCTTTTGTTCCTGCAGCCCCAGACCCAGCACAGGAGGCACTGAATAAATATCAGGCACCAGAAATACATAGGCAAGAATGAGAAGTGACTGCTTTGCAGGAGTTACCTTCTCTTGGGAAGAGCGATAGAAGAGACAAAATTGCAGCCTTCAAATATTTGAAAGGCGTCACGAGGAAGAACCTCAGTTTCCAACTAGGTAGGATCACTTCCCACCGACGAACTGTCCAGCAATGCAATGAGCGACCTTGGGAGTCATACATTCCCCTCTTAGGGTCATAGGATTTCAAATTTAGAGCTAGAAAGGGTCTCAGAGGTCATCTGAGCCAACCCCTTCATTTGTAGACAAGGAAAAGGGTGTCCAGAGAGGTTTCACTGATTCATTATGGTCACACAGTAATTAACAAAGCCGAGATTTGAACCTGCCCAGGACTCCTCTGAGCAAGAGGCCAGATTATAGCTTCTTGGGGATTTTGCTGAGGGTATTGTTGATCTAGAGTGCTTACAAGGTGCCTTTATGTCTACCTCTAAAAAGACTAGAATTAGAGTAATATGTTAGATTTTGCTATAGACTCACATTATAATACTCACCAGAGAATCCAACTTGGGAATTCAAACTTCATGTCACATTGTTTAAGAAACAGGATAGCAATGACAGCCCCAACTAATCCCTTTGCAATAATGGGAGGTCCACGTTGCACATGTTTTGAGATTTTTTCAATGTTCTGATCACTTTTGCTGATTTTTCCCCCCTCTTTTGTCTTTTAAAAATACTATGTGTTGTATAACCTGTATCAGATCGCTTACTGTTTCAGGGATGGGGGAGGGAAGGA